GGGCCCAATACTACCTTCGACACCTACCTGTACCTTTCCCAAGGCTCTACATGATAACACTAATTCGTCCCAACATAAATCATATCCCACAAACTACCGCATATCTCAAATCCTAGGACGTCCTAAGATTTTCTCTACTCACATCAATCAGACCAATCAACAGGTTGCCTTTATGCATGCAAATTATACACAGAAAAGGATCAAATAGACTTTTGAATAAGAGATTCTACCCTAGGACCACAACCAAACGAGGAACAAGAAATAAGGCCAAATCAATCATTCAAAGGCTATAAGCTCCTAACTGTATACAATTTTAAAAGCATACACATAGCAAAATCCATACGATTATCATAACTCAAATATCAGTATAACATGGCTAACATATTAGGGAACTACTTACTTGGCTCGGCTGATCACACGTGTTGCACTCTCATCTTTTCCATTCTTTAAAAATTTTTAACTTTTATTTTTGAAAACAATTTTACCATTCCCTTATTTTGAGCCCTGACACACCCAAGAGTGTGCCCGATTCCCTCAAACCAAGGCTCTGATACCAACTTGTAACGACCCAATTTTAAAAAACAAATTTTTCTTTTTTAATTAATCAAAACACTTTTCCATAGACCATGAAATCACAATACAATTGTTTTCAAATTCACATCCATAACAATATTATTTACAAACATCAGAGTGTCCCATAAAATGCCTGAGAGAGTGCACGCCGCGCCATCAAGCCTTGCCCTTGCCCTTGGTCTCAGATGTACCTTAAACGAATCCACAAATTGTAAGCTAATGCTTAGTGAGTCCCCCAAAGCATACCCCCACACACAATCCACATAACACATATCATATTAGCTATAACAGCTACACATATCACATAATCCATGCATACTAATATATAAGGATGTTGTGGGCTCCCCCCAGGATCTTATACCTTCAAGTCATGGGCTCCCCCATGGTCATTACCTAGGAATGCCACGAGCTCCCCCACATGATCTTATATCCAACTGCCACCGGCTCCCCCCGGGGTCTTCCATGCAATAACATAATAATCAACAAGAATATCATATATCACAGAAGTATCTATCATACTACATAACTCATACATAAACATATAAGGATTTTGTGGGCTCCTCCCAAGGTCTTATACCATCATGTCATGTGTTCCCCCACATGGTCTTTACCTAGGAATGCCACGGGCTCCCCCACATGGTCTTATATCCAACTGCCACGGGCTCCCCCCGGGGTCTTCCATGCAAATATAACATAAGCAATCGCATACCACTTAGCATAAAGCTAACTATCATACCACATATCTATACTAAAACTAGTGTACCACATATCATAAAATGGGCCGGCCTTGGTGCCGTAGACCCATTGGTATGGTGAGAAGACTCACCTCTCGGATGCTGAACTGACAAGCTAGAATCAGATATGTCCCACATGCTGCTCCAACTCAACTGCCTATAATCATTATGTTATTAACTTGTCACAATCCCATAATTACCCACAAATTCAACCCTGGTCAACCCTGGTCAACCCTGGTCAAAGTCAAGGTCAACAGTCAAGGTCAACAGTCCATGTTGATCTCAACTCGTCGAGTGCATCCATCAACTCGTCGAGTTCCTCCCGAGTCCATTTCACTGCATCCCACATCAACTCGCCGAGTCACCCTAGTGACTCGTCGAGTTCATCATATGTCCATAAAACTAATTTCTGGTCAGACCAAAACCCTAATCCTTCACTCCACTCATTCAGAAACTCAGAAACGGGCAGACCCTTTCCCGACTCGTCGAGTCAGCTAAGGGACTCGACGAGTTCCTTCAGTGCTTTTACAAGTTCAACCCTTTTTAGTGTGATCTAAGGTCCCAAACTTCAAATCCAAACTCCCCTAGTGCAGATACCACGTAAAGTTGCAAACTTTACGTGCATGCAAGGCCCTCCAAGGCTATAACATCAAAACTAGGCTTCTTACAAGGTTTTTGTGCATGGAAAAGGGCTAGGCTGCATAAAATGAGCAACTTTATGTCATTGGGGACCTAGAGAGGTCTACATCTGGAACCATATCCTTGTGATAAGTCCAGATCCAAGTTTGACTCCATTTTTCACCAAAAATGGCCATTTACTTCCAAGAAAAGGGATTTAATCAACTATGGGTCAAGGTGGCGACTTTATACCTCAAAATGATGGCCAAGACAGAGTAGATGTCAGATCTACTGCTCCTCCCCTTCCTTCTTCCTCTTCAAGCTCTAGAATCCTTCACAAATACCCCAAAATAACTCACAAAAGCTCTTACTCTCACTCAAGAAGGCACAAGGTCGAATTAGGGTTTTCTCTGGCTAATAGGGTGATAAGGGAGGCCACAAGAGGCGGGTTATGTTCCTTAAATAGGGTGCAATCCCTAAAAATTAGGGTTTCTGTTTACAACTCCTACTCATCGAGTCGGGGCCTTCCGACTCGTCGAGTAGGACCCAAGTTTCGCGTCCTCATAATAGTCTCTACTCGACGAGTTGGAGCAGCCCAACTCGTCGAGTCCATGCACAAATAAATCAATACCAGGAATAGGTGTTACAAACAAAAATTTGTGTTCATGTACGTTCATTTATTAAATAAATGAACTTACTGTTTAATGGTTCACGGACAATTCATGAACATTCGGTTCGTTTACAACCCTATACGTTGTAATGTTTTTCTAGTGTCTCACTACCTCTTTTAATAACATTCCACCGTTAAAAAAACAAAATAATAAAATTAAATTAAGCCTTATTTGTTCGTTTCCTTTTATTACCACGGTGAAGTAATAATTTTTGTGGATAAAGTGTTGAATGCATAAATTTTGTCCAGTCCTTTTTTCTACAAAGAATAAACCGTTTTAATAATGCTAAATAACCATTTTACCATTATATTCAAACAATTTTCTTGACAATATTCATATATTCTAACAATATTAATCAATTTTGCATGAGATGAGTCTGGAGAGGAAAAAAAAAGACCAGATGAGTAAAGATTGATACCTTAATACACGAAGGCAAGTTTTTTTTGGTTTAACTCATTAAGTCATTTGATCCAGATTAAGTAAAAAATAAACAATCATGTATAGTTTTCTAGGTCAAATGCTTACTCTATTAAACATATTAAGTGAAAAAAGTGAAAAAGAAATCGTCCATTTTTTTGGAAGCTGTACCAGGAACAAAAATCATCATAAAAAAGACGAATCAAATGCATGGGACCCTTTGTTTTGCGTAGGGGGGGGGGAGGGCGAAGGGTTGTTTTTAATAAAATTGTAGTGGCATGCAACCTTCCGGTCAGAAGGTTCATGCTCCCATCGGTTCTTTACCCTTTAGTGGGACGGAGGCACATGTGGATCGTTTGTTTTTAGATTGCTAGCATGCGAAAGAGGTTTGGGGTTGGTCTCGTCATTGGTCCAATTTTTTGATTTGACCTCTGGTTAATACTTAATAAGATGCGCTTGTTAGATGGTGTGGACTCGTTGGCGTTGGGCCAAAAGAGAATGAAATTTTGCTTTGGGTTATGCTTTTCTTGGTTTTGTGGAACATTCCTGAAGAAATGTGTTGCTTAAAAATGATAGGAGCAATACCATGAAAACAATAATTAGATGAAGTATGGAACAAGGATTAGTTCCATAAACTAGATTGAGTGCTCCTAGTTGTATGTTGTAATGTTTTTCTAGTTTCTCACCAAGTTCTTTTAATAATATTTTAGCGTTAAAAAGATAATGTAATAAAATAAAATAAAGCCTTATTTGTTAGTTTCCTTTTATTAACATGGTGAAGTAATAATATTTGTGGACAAAGTGTTGAATGCATAAAGTTTGTCCTTTTTTCTACAAAGAATAAAGCGTTTAATACTACCAACTAACCATTCTACCATTATATTGAAACAACTTTCTTGACGATATTCATCTGTTCTGACAATATTAATCAATTTCACATGAGAGGAGACTTGAGAGTAAAAAAAACCAGATAGGTAAAGATTGATATCTTAATACACGAAGGCAAGTTTTTGGTTTAACTCATTAATTCATTCTATCCAGATTAAGTAAAAAAGTAAAGATCATGTATAGTCATCTAAATATAATGTTTACCCCATTAAACACATTAAGTGACAGTTCCTTAATTTTTTTAAAGGCACTACCATGAACAAAAATCATGGAGTCACCATCAAATTCAACATTAAAAGGACGAATCAAATGCATGAGATCCTTTGCGGATGCTCTTGAATCAATCAAAGTAGAAGCATGTATTATTATTACAAGATACAAAAAGTATATAACCAAGTAGTAGTAGTAGTAGTAGTAGTAGTAGTAGTAGTAGTAGTAGTAGTAGTAGTAATGTTTGTCTGTGTCTTCGATTCATTTGTAACTTGAAAGTTTGTAGATGCTCTTGAAAAGAGCGTTGCAGCTGATGGGTGATGTTACCATGGCATTGGCGATAAGTAGTAGTAGTAGTAATGTTTGTCTGTGTCTATGATTCATTTGTCAGTTTGTGAAACATGGGAAACCAACTTATCCATAAACTGACATTTTTTGTCGAATCCCCAACCTGGATTGCTCTACAGTCCAAATATAGATACAGACAAATCAACAAATCAAATATGTAGGAATCAACTCACACATTTTTTTATTGTGGGCCAATCCAAAGAAAACCTCATTTATCCACCAATAAAGCTAAAGCATAATAGTTGGTAAAAAAACCAAACCTTGAGAGAGAGAGAGAACAGCTCAATCAGTAAATCGCTTGACAGAGATAGGTGCAGTTGCAGGCAGAGTATTTACAACTCTTTCAAGCTCTTCCCCTTGTTTTTTAGTAGTTACCCTGTTAGTGTTGGGCCCACTATAGAAATCCACAAGTTCTTTCATTAGAGGCACGTTCTTCATTGTCTCTTACACAAGCTCCAGAAATGAAAAACCATTCACCAATTAGTCAATTACAAACATAATAAAAATAAAAATCATTACTTACCTGCCACTCTTTATTGGTTTAAATATTTTCATAAGCCATTAGGAGGGGCTTCATTTTCTCAAGAGCATCTCGAAGAGGTACACGAGGATTCTCATCAATGTCAGGATTCGAATCAAACTTTGCCATTAAGTATTCTGCTTCACACTCCGACTACAGGGTATAACCACATACAAAATATGTTAGTTACGATTTGATATAAGTTTGAATGATAATTAATGAAAGGAGTCATACCAAAATATTGGTATGCATTGCATCCACATGGGCATCTTCTTCAGGAGAGGGTAACACATTCGCCCTAGCTTCTTCAAATGCTTGAGTCAAAATGTCAAACTTCTCAGGACCAAGATATTTAGCAAGCTTTTCAACATTCACTTTGTCAAGATCTGTTTCTTCCTCATCTTCCTCATTCTAATCAAACACAGACTTTCCCCTTCTTATCACCCTACCCCAACCCCTACCCCTCCCCCTTCCAGGCCAACCTCCCCGATGAACCATACCACGACCACCCGCTCCTATAAACCCTCCACCATCTTCACCGACGACATCACAACCCGTTGAAAGTATCCCCCTAGCCTTGTTGATCGCCTTCTCTTGATTAATTTTAGGGGAACTCGGTTGAGGCTTTACTACTAGTTGTTGTTGTTGTCTAGGTTTGATATGGCGATTTACTTCCTCGCCCTTTTCAGCACGCACGAAGAAGCCACACCTGGAAGCACCAGAGAATGCCCCAAGGCATGTCGCGCCCGACAGGCTAAGCCCGACGGAACCTAACGCCCGTCAGCGCCCTAAGAGCAGGGCACTCACGGAGAAAGGCTCGGTCCTGCCAGGGGCGCCTTCCATTCTGGGACAAATGTAACGGTCTCAGGCGACAAGGTAGATGCTCAAAGCATTACCTCCTTAACTAATCGTTGGCTCTGATATATTAAGGAGCACGATCGCCCAATCACCGTCCCCGATTCTGTCGGGTCTCACGCCCATGTCCCATACGGACTAGCAGAAGGACTCGGTATAAAAGGCCACCCAGATGCCTTGGGAAGTAAGTCGTCTTCTCTCAGTTTACTCACAATACAATCTCAAGTCTATCCACCGACTTAACCGTCAGAGCATTGTACCGGGAGCCTCCTCCCCGAGAACGGCTGACGATCCTTTCTCGTTGTGACCTTGCAAGTTCACCGAAATCACCCAAGGCGTAGAGCACCATCATTGTGGAACAAGGTTACATAATTTGACGCAATCCGTGGGATGACGAAAAACAAATCAAAATCACACTCCTCATCGGAGAAAGAATGGCGTCCGACGACACCGGGGGAACCAGTGGAACACCAACCAGCCCATCACCGGTGAAACATCACAACAAGGCGGCTCGACAGTAACCACCGCTCCAACAACCGAGCCACAACGACTGGCTGTCGGAGGACAAACTTCCTCCGCCGTCATGTCAACACAAAGCACTCTGATGCAAACACCCCAACTAACGGTGATATCAAGCAGTATAACACCTCCAACGATGGATGACTTCAGCGCCACATCGACTTTCTGATAACCACCACCACTAAACCAGATGACATGCAGAGAACTGATGGTTTTCCAGACACCACCGCTAAACTAGATGGCATGCAAACAACCGGTGGTTTTTCCAGACACCACCAATGAACAAAATGGTGACAAACCAAACAATGGCTTTCTAAACACCTCCGTTTGCAACAAACGTACCTTTCCCCACCACAATCCTACATTACCATCAACTTGTGCCCAATAATCCTCTTGCACAACACTCACCCCTATTACCCACCCAAACGCTAACCTTTCCATTTCCACAACAAGTGTTCTATGGACCAAACCCTGGCCACTCTCCAACATATAACAACATGCTCATGCAGACTTACATCACCGCCCAGCAGTATAACCCACAGTGTGCCTTTCCTATCCCAAATCAAGATTGTCTGTCGCGCAGCGTCACATCTCCATTCACCAAGGATCTCTTGGATTACGAAATCCCAAACACAACAAAGTAACCACATATCAAGACCTATAATGGAACCACAGATCCTGATAGTCATATCGACACAAATGAGTGGACGATGACCTCGCTCAAGCTGGATGAGTGATTCTGGTGTGCGTGCTTCCCAAGCACCCTAGATGGCAACACAGGAACGTGGTTCAAGACATTGCGACCATGGAGCATCTATAACTTCCGGCAGTTAAAATACCAATTCCTGACGAATTTCATGCAACTGGATAAAAATAAGGGAGATTCGCACTCAATTATCGGCTGCAAACAAAAGGAAGGAGATACAGTGCGAGAATACTTCACCAGGTTCACTAACGTCACGCTAGACGTCCCAGGCCACGACGAATGCTTAATAACACTCGCCTTCATTTGGGGCTTCCTACCAGGACTGCTTTCTCAAAAGCTCATGGGAAAAAGCCACAGACACGGGCAGAGCTAAAAGAGAAAGTAGAGCTCTGCGTGAGGCAAAAGGAGGGGGAAGCAACTAAAAAAGCATACCTGAAAGCCATGACCGCCTCGGCCACAAAACTCCACAGTTCACCACCGAAAGCAGACACTTTGGGCGAGGTATGAACTCGTAGGGACACTTTAGGCCATTCTAAAGAGATGAGAGGCGAGGCAAGCGGCCAGACATCAATGCAGTTTCTGACAAGCAACCGGTGAATGGAGGAAAGGGACGATACTATGAGTACCACAAGAGCAAAACGCATGACACTATGAACTGATCAGTGTTAAAAAGAGAAATGGAAAAAAACTGAAGGGGAACCTCATCGAGGTGGCATGAAGCCTTCGTGCCAAGTTTAATGCTGAGAACGCCAAAGACGCAGCCAGAGAGCGTGACCAACCTCACGAAATCCTCATGATAGGCTCCAAACGGGGATGGCAGGAGGAACATGGCGATATGGACAATATCACCAGATCCATGCAAGGATTGACGTTTTCAGCAAAGTATCCCCGACCGATGGGCTGGTGAGGTGACGAACCACTCATAATCCAGGGGTCCATCAAAGATGTGACGATCCACTGGGTGTACATCGATACAGGAAGCTCAACGGATATCATCTACGATTATTGTTTCCACCTCCTGCCCGATAGATGGAAGGAGAGCCTCAAGCCTGCAACGGGGAGACTAACAGGTTTCACAAGACACAGCCTATGGCCCCTCGGCACGATTTATTTTCCTTTCACGCTGACCAGCCACGACAGAGTAAAGAAGAAGACAGTCCTAATAGACTTTGTTGTCATAAGGCATCCCGCAGAGCATAACATCATCCTTGGATAGACGGCCCTACTTAAATTTGGGGCAGTCCCGTCAAAAATGCATGGAATAGTAAAGTTCAGCACAACGGAGGGGCTGGGTACAGTCCTAGCAACGCCACCACGGGAGTTACGATGTTACAAAATCATGCAGCCGAAAGAGATCATACATGAAAACAATAAGTCATGAGTAGAACCGGCAAGCGGCAAAGAAATTATCAATAGGGAATACCCAGACCAGTCGGTCAGCGTAGGCAGCAATCTCCCATCAACCACAACACAGACGCTGATCAACCTCTTGAAAAAATACAAACACGTTTTCGCTTGGACCCCTACGGACATGGTATGGGTAGAAAGGAAGGTTATAGAGCATAAGCTTATGATCAAGCCGAGCACTAAAGAAACCAAACATAAAAAAAGGTTCAAGGGGGAGACAGGTGCAGGGCAATCAACGTCGAAGTTTCTAAGCTGACCAAGGCAGGGATACTACGAGAAGCAGTCTTCCCAACTTGGATTGCCAACCCCGTCATGGTCAGAAAACATGATGGCTCGTGGCGCATGTGCATCGATTACACCGATCTAAACAAGGCGTTCCCCAAAGACTGCTCCCCTTTTCCAGAAATTGACCAAAAAGTCAAGTCCTTACAAGGATTTAGACTAAAGTGCTTCTTATACGCATACAAGGGGTACCATTAGATCTTGATGAGCAAAGAGGATGAGGAGAAAACAGCTTTTTATACAGACCATGGGGCTTTCTGCTACACCAAGATGTCGTTCGGCCTGAAGAACGCAAGCGCGACCTACCAACGACTCGTCGACTCTATTTTTGCCAAACAAATCGGAAGAAACATCAAAGAATTCATTGATGGCATGGTCATAAAATGCCCCGACGATAGGAAGTTACTGGAAGACGTAGAAGAAACATTCAAAACGTTAGAGAAGGTCAGGATGAAATTAAATCCAGGAAAGTGTACCTCCGCCGTCGAGAAAGGCCAATTCCTGGGGTACTACATTACCACAAAAGAAATTCAGCCTAGCCCAACCAAAGTGGACGAGTTGATGGAGGTGCCATCCCCACACACCCTTGCGAGATGCCCAGGAGTTGAACGGTAAACTGACTGCTCTAAGCCGTTTCATTTCTAAATCAACAGAAAAAGCCCTACCACTCTTCCACACCCTCAAGGGATGCACTGAAAAGAACAACTTCCAATGGACAGTGGTAGCGGAAACAACGCTCCAGCAAATCAAGGAGGCCTTACAAAAGCTACCTACGTTGGCCAGTCCCGTCCCAGGCGAAACGTTGCAAGTACACCTCTCAGCCTCAGACGAAGCCATCTCTTCAGTACTGGTCGTAGAAAGGGGAGGAAGGCAAGCACCGATTTAATTCGTTAGCCAAGCACTACAGGGCCCCGAAACTAATTACCCCATCCTCGAAAAATTAGTGTTAGCACACATCTATGCGGCACGACGCTTGAGACGCTATTTCCAAGAACATCAGATAGAAGTGCTAACAAATTGTCCGATCAAACAAATACTCCTCAAGCCAGAGACATTCGGGTGACTATCAAAATAGGCAATTAAGCTAGGGGAACATGACATCAATTATCACCTACATACCAGTATCAAAGGAAAATCATTAGCATACTTCCTCCTCGAAATCTCAGGCGATGCAAAGACAACAATTCAGACAAAAGAGTTATTGGGGATAGGCCAGTCCAAGGACGACCAGAAGTGGTCCCTGTACACTGACGGAGCAGCCAGTAAAGACGGGTTGGGAGTTGGCCTAATCTTAACAAGCCTGGAGGGGGAAGAGATCATGTATGCTATCCGCTTCGATTTTCACACTTCTAACAATGAAGCCGAGTACGACGCCTTACTAGTCGGCCTACGATTAGCAAAGCAGATAAGCGCAGAAGCAATAGTAGCCTTGATGGATTCAATATTAGCAGCTAGTAAAATCAACAGAGAATTCGAAGCGAAAGACAAGATAATGGAGAAATATGTGAAGGTCTTACAATGGCTTGTTGAGCCCCTCAAAGAGTTCACCATTAAACAGATCCCAAGAGGAGAAAACAGAAGAGCAGACGCCCTTAGCAAGTTAGCGTCAACATGTTTCGACCACTTTTATAAAAAGGATCTAGTAGAAGTACTCAAGGAGAGAAGTATAGACAAACAACGGGTACACACTCTATTGTCGGCCCGACACGCATGGATGTCACCGATAGTTGAATACCTGCACCACGACATTTTTCCAGATGGCCACGAAGAAGCCAGAAGAATACAGATCAAAGCACTGGTATACGCAATCATGGACGTAGTATTGTATCAGAAGGGATTCATTACACCATGGTTAAAATGCGTAGAGGAAGCCAAAGGCAGGGAGGCACTCCCAGAGACGCACGCCGGCTCAACGGGCGTGCACGAAAGGGCAAGGGCCCTTACAGAGAAAATACTTCGAATGGTCATCTACTGGCCGACCATACACCGAGATGCATTGGAAGTAACACGAAGATATGCAGAGTGTCAAACTTACTCCCCGGTCCAAGGGAATCCTACGATACCTTTGGCGAGCATCTCTAGCCCGTGGCCCTTCTATCAATGGGGAATTGACATCGTTGGGTCGTTCCCAGACGCCCCAGGCAAAGTAAAGTACCTGGTAGTCACGGTAGATTACTTCACAAAATGGATAGAAGCTGAGCCGTTTGCATGCTAATCCAGGAGACAGATGATAAAGTTTATATGGAAAAATATTATAAAAAGGTTTGGAATACCGAAGATACTCATTAGTGATAATGGATTGCATTTTGCCGAGAACCCATTTCAAGGTTGGTGTGCTGACAATGGAATCAAGAAACGATTCACATCGGTAGCACATCCCCAAGAAAATGGGCAAACAGAAGTGTCCAATAGGACATTGGTAAATGGAATTAAGAAGTGCTTGGGAAAAGCTAAGGGCAATTGGGTCGAAGAGCTACCGGGAGTGCTCTAGTCGTACACGACGACGCCAAGAGTGAGCACGAAAGAGACTCCTTTCCGTTTAACCTACAGCACGGAGGCGATGTTGCCAGTAGAATTGATGGTTGGGTCGCTCCGAACGACCCATTTCGAAGAAGCAAACAATAACAAAGATCTAAGAGCAAACTTAGACCTCATCGAAGAGAAGCATGAATGGGCAAACATTCGTCAAGCAGCTTACAAAAATGTCGTGGAAAAGTATTATAACCAATGGCTCAAAGAAAAAGCTTTTAAAGTATGGGATTATGTCCTGAGGCGAAATGAGGCAAGCCACGATCAACCGCAAGGATAGCTGGTCCCCACATGGGAAGGACCATAAAAGGTCATTGAAGCCCACTGCAGTGGTGCATACGTGCTCGAAACGATGGAAGGAATGCAAATCCCAAGAACGTGGAATGATAGGAAGTTGAGGAAGTTCCATTTCTAACTCACCAGTCGTATTGATCACCCGAGGGACGTTCATCGCCGAAGGCTCAGTGCACTTAGGCATGCAACTTTAACTTTCTTTTTAAAAAGTAGTCAATGCAAC